CACTGAATCAGGAGCATTTCCATGCAGCGACAGATCTATAGATGCTGTGATGAGGGAAGGTGTTAGAAATACATGACCTAGAAGAAGTTGTGCATATATTTAATAAATTACTCAAACACCTCCAAGAGGGACAAACCATGTAAAACAATAAAAAGCAACCCTCTGTCAGAAATATTCTAGATTATAGTGGACCATAGTAAGGAAATGTAGGTATATATTCTCAAGCTTTGGCAGCACACAAATTGTAACTAGAAAGAGATTACTTCAGCAGCTGGAAAAGCCAGTTCTCTTTTTATCATCTATACACTGCCCATTAGTATCATAAAACAGAATTGTATGCTGCAATGTAAACAACACAGAATGAAAGAAACCAAACAAATTGAATGTGAAGGTGAGAATATTCTTTGTCGTTGTTCCATTTCTGCTTGGAAAATAGCAAATAGAAAAGAACAAATAATTTTATCATGTTTGTATAGAATGAGAGACACTAAGACGTGCCCTGCACATGGGTCAGGGCAGTCACAAACACAGATACAGCCTGGGCAGAGAATGGATTGAGAGCAGCCCTGAGGAGAAGGGCTTGGGGGTGCTGGTGGATGAGAAGCTCAACATGACCCAACAAAGTGCGCTCACAGCCCAGAAGGCCAACCGTGCCCTGGGCTGCATCCCCAGCAGCATGGGCAGCAGGACTACGCAGGGGATTGTACCCCTCTGCCCTGCTCTGGGGAGACCCCCCTGGGAGTCCTGCGTTCAGCTCTGGAGCCCTCAGCACAGGGCAGACCTGGAGCTGTTGGAGCAGGTCCAGAGGAGGCCCCAGCAATGATCCGAGGGCTGGAACCCCTCTGCTGTGAGAGCTGGGGCTGTTCAGCCTGGAGAGGAGAAGGCTCCGGGGACACCTTAGAGCAGCCTGCCAGTACCTGAAGGGGCCTACAGGCATGGACACAAGGGCATGGAGTAATAGGAGAAGGGGTAATGGCTTCAAACTGAAAGAGGGGAGATTTAGATTAGAAATAAGGAATAAATTCTTTACTCTGAGGGTGGTGAGGCCCTGGCCCAGGCTGCCCAGAGAAGCTGTGGCTGCCCCCTCCCTGGAAGGGTTCAAGGCCAGGTTGGACGGGGCTTTGAGCACCCTGGTCTGGTGGAAGGTGTCCCTGCTCATGGCAGGGGAGTTGGAATGAGATGATCTTTAAGGTCCCTTCCAACCCAAACCATTCTATGATTCTATGATTGTATGACTAGTTTTTCGAACAAATTAAAACCAGTATGTTGCAAAATGTATTAGTTTCTTCACCCTCAAAATCAGGCATGGAGAACATTAAGTCATTGAAGAAAAGGTCTTTCATAGGTAAATATATTGAGAGTCATAACACTGTACTGACAATCCACACAAATATGGCAGTCTAATAAGCAATATTCATAACAAAACATTGAATAATAGGAGCTTGATCCAAACCTTCATAAGGACTGAAGTACAGCTGTGGCATGACTAAATAATGTATTTCAAGGCAGAGGTTATGCCTTTTTTTTTTATTTTTGCAAAGTTACATTGGACCAATAGCTGTCATTTGTATTCTTTTTATCTTCTTGTGCCTGGCATGAATATCACTACAGCATATAGAAATAACAGAAGTTTAGTCCTACTAAATATCTCAGGATCTTCTTGCCAGTGCATTGCACACATCGCTGAAGACTTCCCAGATGAATCAAAAAGCAATTATCAGATATATTCTCAGCTTAGTCAACTCTACTTTCGGCAAGTGTCCATATAATGCAAATCAGCACACGAACTATCACCTTTCACATCTTCTCAGGGGCAAGGACTGAATAACCTGTCTTCCATGTTAGGTAAAGGACCCGTTGAGAAAGCAAAGGGATCTATTTCACCAGTTTGTGCTAATGCCGTGTTGTTTGGGGATTATGTTCTTTGGTGAAAGCTGCTGTTCATGTGACCTCTCATGATGCTACTGTTATTTGTTCAGTTGTACTATACCTGTATAACTACTGAAATACTTCATGATTGCCCTGAATACACGACTTTGACATCACGAGAGTATTGCCCATACAGCTCCTTTATTTTGGAAAATACAGAATCTCTTGAGTGAACTTCCTACTCTTTTTTGTCTTTGAACAGGGAAAGATTTTGGAAAATATTGGCATCTGCAGTCAGATTAGCTTTGTCCGGTACATGCAAGGTTGGAAGACTCTAGGAGTGGACCCGAAGCTCTTCATCAAGGACCTGGAGTTTGAGAAAGTGCCTGTAAGGATTTATCAGCCTAAGGTTCCATCTCCCAGCCAAAGGAAAGGAGTTATGTTTTTCCATGGAGGAGGCTGGGTATTTGGAAGTCTTGGTAAGATGCCTAACAGAAAAAATATTATAATTTACTTAAAGAAGTATCTACTTCATAAAGGGTAAAGTTGATTGTCACTTGATCTGTAGCAGTTATGAAGCCCCAGTATAACCACAGATGAACTTTCCTAAGTTTTGCTGTCAGAAGAAAGCATCTGCAGTGCATTATGTGATTTTTCTTAAAGACAAGGACAATGAGATATGAGCGGAAAAAATACAGTAAGGAAATACGGAAATAGCAGGATGAGGAGGTACAAAGATCTGTGGAGCTGTGTAGGAAGGGGCAGAGAAAAGTAGAGAGTATTTTCTTCTTGCAATTCTTTGACTTAAGTAATAGACAACACCAGTACTCTGGAAAAAACAAACAAAACAAAACATACCCAAACCCCACCAAATGTGTTTCTTTCAGAGACCCACGAAAACCTATGCCGCGCTATTGCCAGAGAAAGTGAATCAGTGGTTGTATCTGTTGGGTGAGTCTTTCCTCATGCTGTTTTTTAGCGACTATTTCCTATAGTGTAAATATCACCTCACAGCTTCCCTTCTCATAGGAACAACCATTCTCAGAGAAATGTTTCTTGTGGGACTTGCCAAGCATATGACTTACAAATTCATTCTGCTCTTGTTAGGAACCACTGAAGACTGACTCAGGCTCAGTTTTCGCTGTATGGCTACATCACAAATAATGCTTTGGGATTACTTGCTGGAAAATGAAATAGCTCCAGTTTATTTATGATCAACTGCTGGAGAAAGGGAAAATTCTGAGGTAATCAGGGTATATTCCTGGTTACAGGAAACAGTATTTTCTGCAATACATTTAAAACTAATATTTCCTTCTCAAACATTTGTTGTCTCCTTTTGTGTATTAGGTATCGTTTAGCCCCTGAACACAAATACCCTGCTGCGTATGAAGACTGTCTTAACGCTACCATACACTTTATGAAGAATATTGAGCACTATGGCGTGGACCCTGCCCGTATCATTGTCTGCGGGGACAGTGCCGGGGGCAATCTAGCAGCTGCTGTTAGCCAGACCCTTGCAGGTAGATCAGACCTCCCCAGACTACGTGCTCAGATCTTGATCTACCCAGGCCTTCAGGCACTGGACTTCAATTTACCATCCTATCAGCAGAATCAGGGAGTCCCTCTCTTATTCCGAGAACGTGTCGCTTTCTACATGTTACAGTACCTAAACGGGGATGTATTGCATATGCAGGAGGTCTTGACGGGTTCCCATATTCCTCCAGATGTTAAATTAAATTATAGGAAGTGGGTGAGTCCAGATAACATCCCTGAAAAATTTAAGGCCAGAGGCTACAAACCACATGTGCTACTTGACTGTACACCTGAAGTTTATGAAACAATGAAAAGATTCTGTGAGCCCAACCTGTGTCCACTGTTAGCCGAAGATGCTATTGTTCACCAGCTGCCCGAATCTTTCATCTTGACTTGCGAGTATGATGTGCTACGAGATGACGGCTTGCTTTACAAGAAGAGACTGGAGGACAATGGAGTTCGAGTGACTTGGTACCACCTCGAGGATGGATTCCATGGAATCATAAGCTTATTTGATTATTGTGGTTTGTCATTTCCAGCTGGAAAAAGGGGTCTTGACAATATAATGAACTTTCTAAAAAGCTTATAGAAACAATTGTCTTTCCTTCCGTAAGAACTGCCAATTTTCTGTAGTCTTTTACACTTCTAAACTTCATATAAGAGGGTTAGACAGGAAATTTTATTAATGAGCAATTATGCCAGTGTGACCACTGAAAAAGATTTCAAGAATGCTATGAAAGCTTTATTTAGTGCTGATTGAAGTATTCCACCAGCATTCTGCCTGTTTTAATGATCTATTTGGACTAGACACTTGCTACTCTCTCAGTAAATATTAAAGATGCATTAAAATCTTAACTCAACATCTGGTCTGACCCATCTTATTCAGTTATGATCTATGGTTTCATTCTTCCTAGAAGACTAAGTGTGTTTTGGCAAAGCAGAAAGTTACTGGTATTACAATGCTATAATGCAGTGCCTGTGCTATATGCTACATGTAGCATCTGAGTCTAAGATTCCCAGTCACTGACTTGCATTAAATTTCTCTGGGCTAGGTAATTGGTATTTTAGACTCCAAAAATGAAGTCAAAACTGCAGCTGTCCCCAACAGAGATACTCTGTTAACAGTTTTGCTTAAATTACAACGGAGGAAATGCTCTAGGTGTTTTCCTGTGATTATCACATGTATGAGTATAAAAACAGCAAAATAAGAGTGATGCATTTGCTTTTGTAGAGCACACTTTAGCTTTTTTCCCCCCTCGTGTTAGTTCCCATTTTCTTTTCCAACTGCCCTTTTTAAAACCATGTATTCCAAACCACTTCAAGAACATCCACAATACAGGAAGCAATATGTTGTGGCTGCAGATCAGATGCAAGAGACAATTTAACCTCCACATTAGTAGGCTCTCATTGCAAACAGCAACCCATCATAAACTAGAGCTTCATTCCATACTTAACTGCTGTCTCTGAACAGCCGTTCATATCATCCGCAATCCAAGAATACCACACAGAATACCAGGCCCTGTATCAGTCCCCAATTAACATAACACTAAACAGGAAATTAAAACATATTCTGCTCTGACTCTTCTCCAGTGTGATGCATGCTGGCAGCCTGCACAACATTTCCAAGGACTTTCAAGTGTGTAGCACCTGAGAGATCTGTTGTAACTCGGACTGCCCTAAGGTGTACTGTTTCTGAGAAAGCTAAATCAACGACAGGTAAAAAGACATCTCACCTTTGCTTAAGTGAAATGGTATTTTTTTAATATATTTCCAGTGATAGTGCTGCTGATTTTTACTGCTTCATTCATACTAGCGATTATAGGAACAATTCAATCTGAGTACTCCAATATCACTATCCCTCCTGGAGTGAATCATCCTAGAAAGCTTCCAATTGTCCTTGCTTCTGTGACTATTACATCTGCTACGGTGAGTTACTCTGCCATGATTTCTGCCAGAAAGGCGCTTTAGATGTTATTTTTGTAAGGCTGTGTGTGTAAATACCAGAATCCTGATAGCTGCATTAAGATTTAAATGAACCTTTTTTGGGGTCTGAATTTAGAGGAGAATTTTTGCAAAATCTTTTCTGTTACACCTCAGATAGTTTCAGTCAGGTTTTCCCTATTACATAGGGACGAAGCCAGCCATGAGTCCAAGCTTCATCGGCTGAACTTCCCTAATTCAGTTTAAATTTTATTTATAAAAAGTCCGATTGCTTTGATCTTCATTTTAGCTAAGCACAGATGATGTTTTTAGGCCATTTTTTAAGCTTTCCAGTAACACTGATGAAAGGCTGGGTGCTTCTTGAGCAGATAAAACCAGAGACTCACGGGAAACCTTAGAGCAACAACAGGGTTTAAAGCCTGCAAACGGTGGGAAGCTGCTACGAAACCGAAGGGCTTGGTGATGCTGAGGAGGAAACGCCTTTTTTTCCTCCCCGCAGACATTTCGCCTGACGAGAGCGTGAGTTGGACGCGTGGGCCTACCTGCTCAGGCGCACGGTGCCAAAGCAGCCCTGCTCGCCCAGGCGCGCAGCCTCACAGGGGTCCGCCACGGCTCCATCTTCTCCCGTGCCAGCTCTCTGGTGAGGACCAAGCCGGAGC